AAATAAATAAATAGACAGGCAAAATAACAGGGCTTTTTCTTCAACTGTGTGTTTCACTATGCAGCAGAAGGGCAGTGAAGAAGTGACAACGGTATGTTGCTAGAAGCGTATCTGTAGGACTGCATAAGACTTTAGTTACAAGACAGCAAGGCCAGTGCCTTGTGTAACAGATGGAAGTATGTGGGTAACGTTTTAAGGAAAAGTAATTTGTAAACTGAAGTGCAAGATGACTCATAGTTAAAATGCTTCTAAAGGCATGTGCAATTTCACCTTCAATATCCCTTTCAAACACTATCAGCTTATTTTACAAGAGATGCCCATGATTATAGCAGTATTGCAACCTCCAGCTTTTGTATTATAGGCATGCAGTGGAATGACCTGATTTATAAAAGCAGAAGCTATATCTTATAATTCCAATTACAAATCTCACCTTTCTTCCAATGAGCTTAAAGCAGCACACATGGTCCTTCTCTTTCCTACTTCATCTGGCTGAGTATATATGTGACTACCCCAAGGTGATCCAGTGAGTTTCAGGACTGACTGGGGATCTGAATTCTTCTACAGCTCAGTCTACCACTTAACCTAATAAAATGTAACCTCAACATGGCCCTCCCCCCTCGCAGGGAGCAGGGACCTATTGTCATGGTCCGCCCTCGAAGGCTACTGGATCCGACTGTATTCCAGGATGCCATGAGAGGTGCTATGGTTGACCTGGCTGGTGCTCCTGTCGAGGCTCTGACCGACAGCTGGTTCGCTGCTGTGGTTAGGGCTGTAGACATGATCACACCTAAGCGCCCTCTCCAACGCAGAGCCCGCCCGGCGCCCTGGTTTAACCAGGACCTCCGGTCGCTGAAGCGGATCAGGAGACGGCTAGAGCGCAAATGGAGAAAGGACCCGATGGATTACAATTGGATAGCTGTTAAGGTCGCCACTAACCTTTACCTGGCTAAGGTAAAGGCTGCCAGTCGAGCATACTTCGCTAACCGGATAAGCGAAGCATCCGACCAGCAGGCGGAATTATTCCGTATAGTGTGCGACCTATCCGGAATTGGCCCGGGTGATGGGCCTCCCCCTAGTTTTACACCAGACCAATTTGCAGCATTTTTAAAATCTAAAGTGGAGGCCATCCACTGAGACCTCTCTCCTTTTTTGAACACAGTGAGTCGAGCTGAGATGTCCAGCGCTCCGTCTTGCCCGGCAATTTTTGACTCCTTTCAGCCTGTCACGCCTGACACTGTGGCCAGGGTGCTGGATCGCTGTCGTGCCACCACCTCCTCCCTTGACCCCTGCCCGGCCTGGCTAATCAAAGCAGCCAGGCCTACAACAACG